TCACTGGGGTGTAGCCTGTCTGTGGCTTGTCTGGCTCACTAATTAAATGAACAAAAGGCTGTGTGTCGATATCTTATACGCACATGAGATGAAAGAACAGTTGTTAAAGGTACATTATGTAACTTTTTCTGCTTTTGTTATGGGTATGGGTTTGCTTTTCCTGGAATATTCCACAGCCTGGCATTAAACTTGACTATGTTATGTTCGTTCATGTGTTTGTTGCTGGGAAAAAAACACTGAAAAACATGACATCACTTTCTTGTCTCTAAGGAGATGGCCAAGTTTAATGCCATACTGTGGAATATTCAAGACAACACATTCACACAGTATTTAATATGATATATAAGACACAGGTTCACTCTATTAATACTTTGCAGCTGATGCCATCAACATTCCTTGGGGGTGTGATGAGAAGCTCTACTAAACTTTAATCTGACCTTTATTTTAGGAAGAGCTGGTTTAGTTGGAACTACAACAGGTGATCTTATTTGTGCTGTTAAACTATGTGCCGCACAGCTCACTGGGATTATGCACTTTCTCTTCACCTGGAGTCTGAAGATTGAAAGAATACTGGTGCTATGGAAGACCTCCTGCATTGTACCAGTGCCCAAGAAGCCTATCCCATCTGGATTTAATGACTTCAGACCAGTTGCTTTGATGTCTCAATTCATGAAAGTGTTTGAGAAACTTGTTCTGGCTCAGCTCAGACTCCTGGTGGCACATCCTTGGATTAATTTGCCTATCAGTGCCATTTAGGCGTGGAAGATGCAATAATCTAGCTCCTTCACCAGGCACACTCACACCTTGGATAGTGTTAAGGGCTCTGTGAGGCTATTGTTTTTCGATTTGTTCAATGCCTCTAACAAAATCCAGCCCTTCTGATGAGTTAGACGCTGCTCAGGATGGGTGTCAGCTTAGTACATGCGACTGGGGGACACCCTTTCTGTGCTCACTAATGTAGGAGTTCCCCAGGGAACAGTCCTATCTCCTTTTCTGTTCACTCTGTACACCTCTGATTTCCAGTACAGCATCGGGTCCTGCCATCTTGCAGAAGTTCTCTGATGACTCTGCAGTAGTTGGGTGTATCAGAGATGGTCAGGAGTTGGAGTACAGGACACTGATTGCAAAGTTTGTGGAGTGGTCCCAGGCAAACCATCTGCTCCTGAACGTTGACAAGACCAAGGAACTGGTGATTGACTTCTGGAGGAAGAGGACTCCAGTGGAGCCCGTCACCATCCAGGACCATGATGTGGAAATAGTGGACTGCTACAAGTACCTTGGAGTCCAGGTGAACAACAGGCTGGACTGGAGGGACAACAGTAATGCTGTGCACAAGAAGGGCATGAGTAGACTCTACTTCCTGAGAAAGCTCAGGTCTTTCAATGTGTGCAGCAAGTTACTGGAGATCTTCTACCAGTCTGTGGTGGCCAGCGGGCCTGCTGGGGGAGTGGCACCAGTAAAAGGGACATTGACAAACTGATCCGTAAAGCTGGTCATGTGATCGACTGAGAGCTGGAGCAAATTTGTCACAGTGAGGGACAAGAGGACACTGGACACACTGCTCTTCATCATGGACACTCCTGCTCACCCACTGTACCAGACTATAGAGGGACAGATAATACTCCCTACAACTGTACAACAACTCACACACTGCACCAGACTATAGAGGGACAGAGAAGCTCATTCTCCAACAGGCTTCTACAGTTCCACTCAAACAGTGAGAGATAAAGGACTATATTCATACAATACTCCATACAACTGTACAACAAGTCACCTTTATGTAAGATGTCAATCATATCATCTTTGCACTGTTTCCTTATGACCTCTTGTATATAACTGTGACATGCTGTATTTATATTACGATATTTGTCTTTTACTTACTTTACATACATTTATACAATTTATGTCTTATTAATATCAATCTGTAGCTGTTTGTATATATATATGTACTATATATATATGTATGTATATATATATATATATATATATATATATATATATATATATATATATATATATATATATATATATATATATATATATATATATATATATATATATATATATATATATATATATATATATTTTTTTTTTTTTTTTTTTCTGTGTGTGTGTGATGTACCTTCTGTGTCTGGGTAGTCATTTCCCTTGGGGTCAATGGGTCAGTAAAGTCTGTTTAAGTATAAGTCCAAACAAGTCCCTCTGAAATAACATTATAGTCACAAGCGCACAAGCGAGCTAGCATTAACAGTTTTTCAGTTGGTCACTCTCACCTTTTTGTAGAAAATCAAACACTCTCCACAGAGGACCATTTTGTATTTTCAGACAATCTTTTTGACAGTTTTTGCTAATGTGTATATTATGTCTCCATGGTAACTGCGGAACATTACACCATATAGATACATGTAGAAGACCCCCAGTTTGATTTGAACCTAATAATGTTGGCAACATTTCGCCATATTTTGAGCTAGTTTTAGAGCGTATACTTGAGTACTTAACTAAAAATGAGCCTACTGTGCATGTTTACGTTGATACAAGAAACAACCATAATTACAGTGAGGTGGGTGCTTACCACTATCACTACGTAATGATTCGTGCCATATCTGGGCATGCTGATTTGCATTTGCTCTGTCAGTCTCCTTAATAGTCAGACATTAAGACGCTGTGTAAACTCTGCTTTTATTGCATACCTTTTGAACTCACTTGGCTGTGCACCAGCTTCATTTTGCAGCGCCTTTCCCCTCTTTATGGGGATTACCTTCAATTAAAATTACAGTTCTTATATTGTCTCCTGCTGTGGTTTTATCCTCTGCTTGCACATTTTAAATATTCAGACATGTCCTTGCACGCGCTCAAATCTCAGCACTGGGGATGTCGATTTTTGGTGTTAGCATTTTTTGTTTTACAATTTTGATGATTTCTAACCTTGATGCAGATGTGTTTTAGATTTGTTTCATACACATATGCACAGTTTTAAAGGGCCTATATTATGTGTATCATCTGTGTTATAATTAGGGGTGTGCAAAAATATTGAAATATCAACATATCGAATCATTTAATGTGATGATACAGTATCGATATATTGCCCAAAGTATTTTTTTTACTAAATTATTGAGTTACAGCATTACAGTTTTGTTGCTTGTGCAGAGGAAGAAAACTTGTTTATGTGACACTTTTGACATTTTCACTGTTGTGATGATTAAAATAAGTGTGTTTTATATGAACTTTGCACAAGAAGTAGTTTAACAAAGACTTTCAGTATCACAGCCATGATTTAGCCATTATTTTTTATTGAACTGTATCGAATCGAATTGAAATATATCACATTGAATCATATCAAATTGTAAGCTCACTTTATCAAGATATGTATTGTATCGTGGCCTATGTATATGTTTCATATCGTGGCCTATGTATCGAGATATGTATCGTATCGTGGCCTATGTATCGAGATATGTATTGTATCAGCTACGTTGGAATGATACCCAGCCCTACTTATAATGTTGTTTCCTGATCACAAACATACATGGAGTTGTGTTTTGTGTGTGTGTGTGTTTTTTTTTTTAATTCACACCTGTTTATCACACAAGCCCATGTGTGAATGAAACAAAACACAACTCCATGGATGTTTTTGACGAGGTAACACCATTGTAACATAGCTAAAAGCTCAGAAGAGTCAATTTTGTGTAATATAGGACCTTTAAAAGAAATCATGGCAAAATAGATCCTAAAATCTTCCTTTTGCACATGGAGCATTATGCAAAGAAAATAATATTCATGTTGTTGTTATTGTTTTAAAACAAATGTATAATATCAAATATGGGAACAAAATTTCACCAGGAAGTCTTCTTGTTTTTTGTTTTTTTAATATATAGAAATCAACACCAATCTGTTGATGAATAATACAAACTTTGCTTTATTATACAGACGATAAGTGACCTAGCTTTCCCTTCCTCCCAAACAACAAGATGCATTCAATATATTTCTGTATTTTTGTAAGAAGGTTACTTATAATTACAGACTCTATACTGAGGTATGCATAAAACATTTTATAAGCAGACAATGTTTTTATTTGGACCATAAGAGCTGTTTTTACAATATACTTTTACTAAAACAAAACAGATTGGTAAGACTTTATCATAATGGTAATAATAGTTACATAATTCATAATAATGCCTTAATAATACCTAATTTTATTCAATTACATTAAAGGATCTATATCAGACAAATTGAGTCTTGTGAGTTTTAAACCATGTTATAATGTTACCTTCACAAAAACATACCTTTGATTCATTCACACATGTTGGAGTAACTCTTTGATTAGTGTGTCTATATTTTCAAAGCACGTAATATTTTGTTCCACCATGTGATGTCATGAAGTGATAGTTTTCAAGTTAACAGCTACCTTTTACCTTTTGTTTTACCTTTCAGAGCTGAAATTATCCATATGTTACAATGTTTCGTCATCAAAAACATACCTGGAGTGTGTTTTGTTTCATTCACACATTTTGAAAAAAATAAATAAATTAAAAATTTAAAAAATCCTTTATATTCTACTCTCAAACAGAAAACACTCTGTCCTACGAAGTTATCTGTGTATTTAAACTCCATACACCTTCAGAATCATTTGGATAATTTCAGGACTGGAATTGCCCATCTGTACTGAACAAAAGGTTAAAGGTAGCTGTTAACTTGAAAACTACCATTACATGATATCACAAGGTGGAACAGAACATTTTGAGCTTTGAAGATAAAGGCAGACTAATCAGAAAGGGTTACTCCAACATGTGTGAAGGAAACAAAACACAAAACACTCTAGGTATGTTTAACTGCCTTATAACATGGCTTAAATCTCAGAAGAATGAATTTTTTGTAATGTGGGAACTTTAATAAATCATGTACAGCCCCTTTAATCTCTGTCATTATCACCCGCCACCATTTTCTGCATGTATCATTGCATTATTCAGATGTGTCCTGATGTGTGTATTGTGTGTGTGTCATAGATGGCTCAAAGGAGGGCCCCACGTGCATGGACAAGAACCACGGCTGCGCGCACATTTGCCGAGAGACGCAGAAGGGCGGCATTTCCTGCGAGTGCCGACCTGGATTCCAGCTCACCCGGAACATGAAGGACTGCAAATGTGAGTCCCCCCAGCCAGGAGAGAGCTCTGTGATTCCCCTGTGTGTGTGAGAGAGAGTGTGTGTGTGTGTGTGTGAGACAGAGGGAGGGAGGGAGAGGAGGAGAGGAGGAAGGAAACACAGTGAGATAAAAGTACACTGCAAAAAGTGAAATTGTTTTGAGTGTAAAATAAAATTTATAAAAGTATAAAATTTGGAGAGTATTTTTTTGGAAAGTATTTTCTTCTTGATTAAAGCCAAACTTATTTTAAAGGTCCTATATTACAGAAAATTAATTCTTGTGAGCTTTAAGAATTTGTGTATCATTCATTCATTTGTTTTTCAATATAAAACCTAAAATAAGAAAATGAAAAAATAACAGTTTCGGAAAAGTTTTTTCCATTATTCATTTAAACACAAAATCGAAAAACTGAAAAAAATGAATATTTATCTGTTTTTTTAATTTTGGTTTTGGAGACAACTAATGAAGAAAATAGTTTTTTGTTTTTGTTTAGTTTTCTTATTTTTGGTTTTATTTTGAAAAACGAGGAATGAATGATACACGGATTTTTAAGCCATGTTAGAATATTGTTACCTCCTCAAAAACATATCTGCAGTTGTGTTTTCTTTCATTCTCTCATGTTTGAGTAATCCTTCGTCTATTTACATCTCCAAAATTCAAACTCTTTTACCTTTAGTTCAGCAGAGATAGGCAATTCTGAGGCTAAAATTATACAAATGATTTTAGTGAAAGTGTATGAAGTTTAAAAACACGGTGGAGCCCTCCCTGTATTACCACATAACATCATGAGGTCGTCTAAATATGCAGAATTAGTGTGTTAAAGTGTGAATGATACAAAACAAAACTGCAAGTATGTCTGTGATGAGGAAACAACATTATAACATAGATCAGGAAATTGCTTAATATGGGCCCTTAAAATGCAAAGATTTTTTGTGTGTGTCTTTAGTATAGCAAGATGTACTTTCTTATTTTAAGTATGAAAAGGTTTATTCTTTTGGTAATTGTACTAGTCAAAATTATGCTCAAAACTACTTGAATCAAGTTTTTCTTAAGTTAAGTCATTTTAACTTGGCAAGATTTTACCTTTTGCAGTGTAAAGAGGGGGAGTTGAGAGAGAAGTAGAGAGCTAATAAGGTGGAAAAAAGGGGATGGAGGAATGAGAATGGGAATGAGTGGTAGAGAGAGGAAAGCGGGACAGAAAGATATAATATATTTTGTGTAATATAGGACCTTTAAGGAAGAGAACGAGTGGAAGTAATGGAACTGAGAGAGTGATAAGGAAAAAGAGAGGGAAGAGAGGGGAGTGAGTGCAGAAGAGAAGAAGAGAGCGGGGAGAATGGAGAAAGGGAACAAGGAAAACCTCATTGCGGGAAGGATTTCTTGGCGCCTCGTGAAAAGGTGCTCGTGTCTGACCTGATGAATAATGAATAGCTACACAAATGGCTTTCAACAGGTTTAAAGCAGGCTATGGACTCTCTCAGATACTCTCTGTATAAATGTGCTGGTGTAGAAAGAGCAAGAGCAACTCGATGTACCAGTATTTCATGTATTTCATGGTCTGCAAATTTACACTTAGGATCCCAAATTTGTTCTAACTTTAAACCTTGATAGAATGTGTTTTCTCTTTTGTAAAATCCCTTATTATTGTTGTTTTCGTCATGGTCAGATCCAGTGAAACATTGATTAACTTGAGCTTTGTTGATTCAGGTTTAGAGTATTTTCAGTTCTGGTTTAGTCCTGAATTACAATCCTGATTTGGACATGGATTAGTCTTGGTTCAGATCTAGGACTATTTGTGCTTTACACTCACCTTGAGCTGATCTTGGATTGGATCTGGTTTAAACCTAAACGATTCACTGATTCTCAATTTACATAGCTCATCAGGCATCAGGCTTCATCCAGGCAACGATTTAGCATTTAGTCTCTTCCAAAAAAATTCAATTAAATCTTCTTAATTTCATCACATCTTTGTAAATATTGTTTTCATTGTTAGAAAAAAAACTGTCCAATTCATAAAATTTTAATCAAATTGAGATCTAATTTTGTGCAAACAGTTTAGCATATTTTCCTGTCACAGCTCTTTGCCTCTAACTTACCTTACATAATTCCTGTAATGGTCCTCTAAAAACATGTTTATCGCCTCAGACCTCATAGTTTCCTCCTTGCTCTGTGCCGTGTGGGCCGGGGGTGAGCCAGAGGGGAGAGCAGTGATGGACAGGGCATGCTTCCTGTTGCCGAGCGACTGCGATCCCCCTGTCGGAGCTGGGGCTGGACTGACGGGGGATGTGGTGGTGTTTGGATAAGGACTGAGAGGTGTTATTCTTTAGTGTTTCTGTGACAGCCCAGGAAAAGGCCAGAGAGCCACACGGATGGTACGGAGCAGACAGGATGGCGTGGACTACTGTTGTCACAATATAAAGATTTAAACTCTATTTAATATTAAGAAAGAGCTGACCTATATTGCAAAAAATCCCTTTATATAAATTAGGAGTTTCAATTTTATATTTTATTCTGTCTTATTTAAAACAAATGGTTACCTGAACATAATCAAAAAGACTTTAAAGTTGCATGATATGTAACTTTTCTGGTGATGGGTCTGCCACCTCCTTGTCTGTTATTCCTTTGCCTGGAATGTTCCACAGTATAACATTAAACACGTATATCTTAGGGAAGTAACAATAACCGAAATATCGTGATATGGTGTCTTCAAAGTTCTCACAATAATATTGTGGATCATCACAATATATCGAGTGTCTTTGCTTAAACTAAGAGTTATGGTGCAGCAATAGCTTTAAAAAAAAAAAAAGAAAACACAGAGGGAACTACATAGACCATGATCCTTTGCTTCATTTCAGTGTAGACTATTATAGATAATAGATATAACAGTTCTATGCACTTTTAAGTCTTAGTTCTTTGGATTAACTCTTGTCAAGGCAATTTAAGAGGAAAAAGTAGCATATTCACAGTTTTGTTCACCTCCACAAAATATCACAATAAATATCATACTGTGTTGTGAAAATATCGTACCGGGATATTTGGATATTGTTACATCGTGAGCCTCCCCAACATATTGCAATAAATATTGTACCGTGAGGTTTATACCGTGACGATATCATGTTGTGAGACTTGGATATCGTTACACACTTAGTATATCGCAACATCAACACGTGATGTTATTTTGGTTAAATCTGTTGACACAAAAGTCTGAACTCTTCTCCAAACCACAAGGACCGAATCTTGATTGAATAAAAATAAAATATAAATATGAATATAGTTTTAGACTGGATACTTTATACCAATTCCATTACAAAAATTTAAATAAAAATGCTCTTTTTTAAACAATCATCATTTCCAACACAGAATAATAGAAATGATTGCATTAGTGCAGGGGTCTCCAACCTGTAGCTCGGGAGCTACCAGTAGCTCTCCACCCCCTTCTAAGTAGCTCAGCAAAGGATTTCTGAATAATCATATTTTGCTGCATAAGTAACATTTGATTAATTCAGTGCCTTTTACCGTTGTACGTGTCATTACCTAAACAAATGACAATTTCTGCCTCTCTTTACTGTTGGCAGGGATCAGATTGATCAAAAACAGGGACATGAGGGACATTTCTTGTATAAAATTGGGAAAAATCACTGGATAAATCTGCAGGGACAGGGGACACAGGGCTCAAAACTGGGACTGTCCCGGGTAAATAGGGACGTTTGGTCAGACTAATCCAACTGTACTTCATCTGAAGTGTGGCTCTGTTATATACTAAATTTCTTGTGAATGCTAAAACTAGTAGCTCTCTGGCATGTTTGTTTTGTAAAGGTAGTGCACCGGAGGAAAAAGGTTGGAGACCCCTGCATTAGTGGGTCAAGAGAGTCATCTACAGGTGCTCTGCACGGATGTGGCCAAAAGATATTTTAAAAACCGAATACAATGGACTTACCAATGTTACCAAGAAGATGTGATGTCTGAGGCACTCTGTAGTATGAATTATTAAAAGTCCTTTATTACAGCATGGACAGCCAATGTGTTTTGTCTTCATCAGGGCAATGACCAGAAGACTGGACAGATGGTGGGTTTAAAATGTTATGGGTTCATGTGGTAGAAAATCATTTGACCAGAGTAACATGAGAATAACAAAATAATAATACTTTAGATCAGGACCACTCTGTTTTTAGTCTCAGTACTTCAACTCTTAGTAATGATTGCTCTTGTGTATTGCCATCCCAGTTATAGCCCAGTAAAAGGCCAGAGACCGTGGGGGGTGGCAGGGAGCAGACAGAACGGCGTTTACAGCGTTCCCTCTGTCATCACAGGTGTGTTAAAAGTGTTAAGGTTAAAACCACCGTCACCCCCCTTGCATCCATCTTTCATCACTCACAGATTAGCAGATTCACACTTGAACGCAAGAGCAGGATTTGGGATTAGAATATGAGAAGATGGGAGACCTTAGAAGTCTGTTTGTATTGACTTAAACCACAAAGGTGTTGATTATGGTGTAATCCTAAATGCAGGTTGAGAAGGATGGGTGGGCAGATTTTTATTTAGGTCACCTGGAAAAGTGGAGCAAGAATTTCACACACAAAATGGCTGAGGTTGTCATGGGGAGAGGCACATAGGTTGCAGCTTGTTTTGTTGCTTAAAATATATGAGAGTATTGTAAAAACGCAAAGCTGATCTGTTGATACTGCATTAAAATACATTGAAATTATGTTACCAAGGCGTAGAGAAAATACACAGAATAAATTCAAAATACAAATCTGTACAAGAAATTGCATTGCATGATTTCACCATTTTAATTACATGTAAATTACCTTAGGCTCTGGGGTATACTTTCTAAATAGGTTTTCAGTTTAGATAAAATGTGTTACTGGTATGGCAAGGCGCCTGGAATTATATCATCTTGATGACTGTTTTCCAATTTAGTCTTTGAACCACTTTGTATTTAAGCCATCAGACACACAGGGCCTATAATTAAACACAAAATGGGTTGTATAGCACCTATAGTAATGTGTGCAGTGTCTTTTCAGCAGTAATTTTTGCACCTCAGCCTGTACGGGAGCCTCTTATTTTTTCCTTTCTTGGATTAGATCTCTGTCTCCCTCTACTGGCAAAAGTGTGGAGTGAAGCCTGTTGGAAAGACTATTTAGCAGCACAGATAATAGTGAAATGATAACAAAAATGATTCAAACAAGTCATTAAAAACATGAAAAACAAGCATTAGAAGATTACTTAAATATAGGGGTGTAATGTTGTACCTCTGTAACTGGGGAATGTTGTATTGTACTCCTGTAAATAGAAGAACCACTAAAGTTATTTTGTGCTGCTTCTCTCATGCAGAAGTTTAACACAATGAAATATGAACATTATCAACAGTATGTTACATGTGGCTCATAAACTTGTGCGGACACAAGATGGCGGAGTAGAGTCCACAACGTAAAAAAAACCCAAAACAGCTGATTTTATTTATATTTTATCCTAGCCTCATTTTACATTCAACTACAGATAACTCTTTTAACAATGTACATATAATAAAAGTAAAGCATTTGGTAAACCCCACCTGTAAATAGAAGAACCACTGAAGTGATTTTGTGCTGCTTCTCTCATGCAGAAGTTTAATACAATGAGAAGAAAGAGCGCGAAATTCCCCAAGTGGTGGGTGAAGGCATTACCAATCACTGAAACAAAGGATCCCAGGCTCAGCAGTCGATCACAGATATGATTACAGTGTCCTTGAATGAAATTACAGGAATGCTACTGAAAAATGAAATAGATTGAACATTTTAGTAAACTTTTAACTATATTTAACAGTTTTAAGGCTTATTTAAATTCATATTTGTTGCAAACCTTTTTACTGTTTTTAAATTCTAAACATGAAATCTCATATGAATTACATCACTAACTAGGCACAGAGCATAGCGTTAGGGGCATATAGTACCATTCTAACCTATCACAGTAACAGTACACAAAAATCACGGTTTGGTACGTATTTCGGTTTTGAGGTCATGGTTTGGTTCATTTTCAGTACAGTACGGGAACAAAATCAAAAACCATTTGCTTGTTGTTTACTTGTGTTTTTATTAAACCAGCAATTTATTTTAACATTATACAAACAGAAAAATAAAATAGAAATAAATAAAATAAGTTATATAAAAATATTCTCAGAGAAGCAACAAATGTATGAAATATTATAAAAAATGTATTCCTTGTAAACAGTAAACAATACTTCAAAACTTAAAGCACAGCACGGACAGTTCCAGCATGAAGTTTTACTCAATCTTCATATTTTGTGCCAGAAAAAACAACTTGTCCACATTTTCTGGAAAGAGGAAAGAAGCACGACGACCGTAGTTTTACGAGGATTCCCGTGGTTCAGAAGGACGTTGTCAAGGCGTGGGTGATTGTTGTCAAGGCGGCCACCCTAACTATAAAACGCTGCGGGAAACACTGTCACCCCAATTATGGACAAGTTCCCTCGTGAATATTAAAGAGCCGAGCCTTCGGTGTAGCTGTACATGTAGTGGCGGAATGTAAACACACACAAATTGCGCGAACTCACTCATGCAAAGCTGCGCACCAATCCGATCGTCCCATACCAAAACAGTTTGGCACAAATACATGTATCGTTACACCCCTACTTAAATATACAAAATACACAAATAAAACACAAAAAAGAGAGTATAGTTACATTTTTGTAACCTCAGCATCCCAAATCTTTGAATCAGAATGACTCATAGTGTGTCTTCTTAAACCCCGTTACTAGTTGCTTGAATTGAATGTGGGGACCTTAGCGGTATTTCAGCCCCACTGTTTCTCACTGTTCTAACTCCTGAATCTATATTTGTCCTTTTGTTAGTGACGTGTAACTATGGAAACGGCGGCTGTCAGCACATCTGTGAGGAGACGGACCACGGGCCCAAGTGCTCGTGCCACATGAAGTTTGTCCTGCACAGCGATGGAAAGACTTGTGTAGGTGGGTCAGCCTCATAATGATCTATTTTTGTACGAGACAAGTATAGACATGTTGGGTGTTGTACATTGTTTAAATCTGACTTTATTTTATTTTAATTTTTTTTACAATTACTAATTTATTTGAATTGTAGCCTGCTGTAATTGACAGAAGTGCTGTTAGATTACAATTAAGAACCATGTGTTTCTAAAGATGTGACACAAAGATTTACTTATCAATTTAGATTTTAATTTTATGCATTTAAGTTACCCACTTTCAGGTTTTTTCTTTACTTTTGGTTTACTGGAAATTCAGGGTTAACAGTAGTTTTGACCTGTGACATGGAAGGACAAAAGGCTCAACACTCTGCCGCTGCTGCTTTGTAACCTCTGCTTTGGCCTCTCTCCTTCCTCCTCTTCCTCCCTTCTGCTCTTCCTCTCTCTCCACCCAACATATTCACATGCACGTGCACACATTCACATGCACGTGCACATGCAAACATATAACTCGCACACCTGACCTAACCTTCCTTTGGCATTTTTCATGTGTCCACGTTGAATTAAGTTGAGTGAGGAATCATTGAGCTACTCCAGTACTAGTAGTAAGTATTGGTGAAAGGCAGTCTACCATGACAGAGAACCCAGAGGCACCAAATAAATGTTACTATGCTTAGCCATGCAGAATGACATCGACATTTCATTACAACAATAGTGTTAGCTAAACAAATACGGCAATGGATTGGACTCCTGGTTTCCCCTGAATCAATTTGTTATGAAAAATTATTACAGTTACAACACAATTTTTACAGAGCTGAAATGCTATTTGCTCAAAAACATGTTAGCTGCAATTGTACATATCAGGTAACACGGCAAAACAGATGAAGAGTGATGAAATGCAAGTCATTAGTTTAGTCATATTATTGTAGCACTGAGGTTCTTTAGTACACATTTGCAGTTTTTTTAACTACATTTGTCACCTTGGTCTTGGTATTTCTCGTTATATAACCGGGTTAAAGTAGTGTATCTGCTTTGGAAATACCTCAAAGTCCAAGTTGGCATGGAATTTGTCAATTAAATCAATACTGTGGCCATAACAATTAACAATAAAAACAAAATGTTATGTCTTTTGAATGGTCAGATGTCCACAAAACGTTGCCTATAAACACAAAGTTGAGTAAAAATAAAACACCAATAGAGGGTAACGGCATTGATGATAATTCAACTGACCAAAGCAAAAAATGCAATTCCAGTGTCTTTTCAAGGTGTTGTATGGACTTTAAAAACAGAAAGGAGCTTCATGGATTACAATGTGCAACATAAAAACAATTAGAAAGGACATAATAACAAACTACATATTCCAGATTATTGAAACATGCATAAATTAAACAAAATAAAGGAGACTACTATGGAAGACAATTTGTTCCATCAGATTTAGAATTTTAAATCTCACTGAAATTTTTTCTCATTTTGAATTTTTTAAATCTGAAAAAAGAATTTAATTAATTTTATTCTGGATTTTAGTTGCTGAAATTTTTAGTATTAAGTATTTTAAATATTTCAAATTCAAAACAAAAACTTCACCTTTTAAATATTCAGAACAGATATTTTCAAGCCCTCAAATTCAAAAGTTAAAATTCAGAGTGTAAAATTTGCAGTGAACATTTTCACAACAAAAGTCCAAGATCCCAAGGCAAAAGCAATTGATCATAAGTGAGGAAGGAGCACAGAAGTTATTTCCTATTGGCCGTTCTCATCTGTGGGCGGGGTTTACACCTAAAAAATAAAAAAGATGAGGTTTTGATGAGGATAATTATGACCAATCAGAGTGGTTGGTCAGAATTATCGCTCGTTACTAAGTTAGATTGAATCACTTTGGATCGATTGCTTTGACCTTGACATTTTGGATCTTTCCTGCAAATTTTTTTCACTGCGAATTTTACACTCTAAAATTCAAAATTTAAAAAATCACCTTTTAAATATTCAGCACCAATATATTCAAGCCCTCATATTCAACAGTCAGCATTCAAACAGTTTGAAAACATACACTTAAAATCTCAGCAAATAAAAATAATTCAAACATGATTTTTCAGAGTAAAAACATTCAAAGGGACAAATTCAATGGCATTTAGAATTCAAAATCAGATTAAATAAATTATCTTCCATAGACTACAATCTTATGACACGATTTAAAAGTAAAGTTGGCTGTTTTACGGTTAGAACACGCTTTGCACATTTGTAAACATATCTTAAAATGTTTTCAAAGACTTGTCAGCATTTTCAGAAGTAGTTTTAAGAGGAAATAGCTATTTGGTTTCAGTGGCTGTTAGCTTTGAAGGCTGGTTGTTAGAGTATAGCTGATTAGTGCAGTGTTTTTGATGAACTTTATTAGCACAGGCCTGAGGAAAACCAGACCTGGGCTACTCTGGTCAGCCAACCTTTCATTATCCATGTCCCCCACCACGCCAGGGCACGCCGCACAGCAACCCACAACCAAATTATATGTTCTTTGCCCCTGGAGTTTTTTCTTCTTCTCCTGAATGCGCAATTGCAGCCTTGTCGTGCCAACATTAAGAAGCCGGCTAATTCTGCGGAGCGAAGACTGCTTTGTGGTCGATGTAAGTGAGCGCTAGTTGGCCCAAACCTGTAATTAATTAATAAAACTAACCCTGGGCAAATGTACCCTTGACAGATGGAGTGACACTAAAATGATTTTGTTAAGCACCTCTGCTCAGAACAAGTGCTCTTAAGTGACCGTTTAAGCACTAACTAGATCCAAAAATTACAGGGTATTCAAATCTCTGACAGGGTTTTGCACAAAAAGCTCATTAGCGAGGCCCATGACTGTTGTTTACAAATATCTTACAACATGATTCATTAAAACTTTTTTGTAACTGTTAGAAAAGTTTTGAAAAAGTATGAATTATTTGACTTTTTTTGGGAAAAGGATCCATCACCTACCTGTCTCTGTGGCAATGTTATTGTTGTAATGTTCCGCAGTATGTAATTTTTCTTGCATTTGTCAATTTATAGTGTACGCTCAATTTAATTTATCTCCAGCTACTAGGTCAGGCATCGGAATACACTAAATGTTTACAAGCACCCCGGAAGTGCAAGTCCGGGCACCAGCCAATCAGTGAAGAGACATATATTCTGTGTTGACAACGATTCCCGAAATTGAGGATTTAAAGGAGGAACAAAGAGAATGTTTGGTGAATTTTATCAAGGGGAAAATGTTATTGCCGTTCTTCCTATGAGAGTTGGGAAAAGCTTTATGTACCCGTTAGTTCGTTAGCGGCGCATTACATACGTCACGACCAAAATCGCAGCGATTGGTTAAATAAAAAAGTACCCGCCTACTGTTGAGCGAATGAATCCTAATGCTGCGAGGTCATATGGTTGTGAAAGTGAAACCAGCTGATGAATCAGGCTAGTTTAACCCTACCCTAGCTAGATAATGTCTTGAAAAACAACTGTTCTTACTGATAGCAGACCCGCCTGTTCACAGATCTGACTTATAATTTGGTCTGGTGGTGTTATGTGATGTCTCCATTGAGATTAAGAAGTTTGTCACACTGGTGAACATTAAAGGCACAGTAATACTCTCCATCTCCATGTAGACAAGAGTATGGCATATCCACCACAAAAGTTAAAACTTGCTTACAATTCAACCCTAAAGGCTCATACAGTGTTCCCTTTGAGCCTATCCACAAATCTGCACTGCCAGAAATCTGCAATCATATAATATGAACATACATGATACAACATGATATTTTGCACTATACTCTAGTCAGTTTTTCAGATTTGTTCACTTTTTTTCAGATTGCAAAAATACAGTCTTTACTGATATACCAAAACATATCTAGATGTTGTTGTTTTTTTTAAATATATATGCATTACCATTCACTGTGCTTTTGAATTCAAATACAAAGAGTTCATTTGCAAAAGCATAAGTGGAATTTTAAAAAGTCATTGTTTTCAAAAGCTAAATGCATTTTGCTACTATCAAAATATTATTCCATCACTCTTTAACCCACTAAATATTATATTCATTGTAAATAATACATGTAGAAGATGGTAGCAAAAAGAAAAACATATTTTTGGGTAGTTTTTCAAAACTGACATATCTTTATTTGCTCTCTCTTCAAATATATGCATACAAAAATGTGGTTGGTGGGGGAAAAATAAACAAACATCATAACCATTGATACTATTGAGCATAAAGGCGGATTTGGAGTTCAAGAAGTCCAAAATATCTGCTGTGGAACTTGAAGCCGCATTCAGTATGGACTCATAATCACATTCAACAACTCTATAGTGTCAAACATCATCACAGGAAATGCCAGTTTGTCATCTTCTCAGTGCATTCAAAGGACTCAGTGCATTCCTTCCTCCTGCTTAATCTTATTTGAATAATGTGTGCATCCTCCAGTGCATATTTTCAGTGCCATGTCATTTAATGCACAGTAAAAAGGCACACAGCGGCGAATACCTATGAAGTCAAGCATTCAAACATGCCAGATAAAATGTAGAGGTTTCCATGGCAACAGTACACACTCAAAGGACAGTCTTTAATGCAATGATAGTGATGCAGTCATGCCTATAGTGTATTCAGCACATACACGAAGGACCACATTGCTCACTTCTTTGTGATTCCTCTGTCCGCTTTTGGAGGTTTTCTGTTCCCCTGTTAACACATTATTGGACTCCTGTAAAGAGAGGACTGGTGATGTAATATTTAACTTTTTAATGCTTTAAGTAATTTAAGTAAGTTTTGATCTCACTGGCAAAGTTGGTAGCAATTAAGAGCTTTCCTGACCAGATATACCTTCGATATTCTGTTCAAATCCAGTCTGGAATCAGATCATGGAGTGTGTAAAACCTCTGTCCTAACAAGGGACGGTGAAACCACAGCTGCTAATTTGTAGCATGTGTCTCTCAAATGTGGAAGACATCTCATAAAATTCTCGTGACATCCAGAACAAAATATATATCTTATCTTACCTGAGATAAATAACAGTTTAGTGCTCTGGTTGTTGATTCTGCAGAAATCTGCACTGTTTCTCAGTTCTTCTATGTTGTTTGTTTCCCTTTTTTACATGCAAGCCACCATATTTGTTTTTACGGGAATGGACCATACTAATTGGTTAATCCGCCTGTCAATCACGCCCTCTGGAATCATGGAGACAGGATAAGACTCCATCCCACTCATCTTTGTAAAGCTGTAACAAATTCTGATTCTGTCACTGTAGCATTGCTTTTTGAAAGTGCAGCATTTCAAGAGGTGTATCTCACCAGCACCAGCGTTTTGTTTATGTCACATGTAAACAGAAGGAAAAAAATCTAACATGATCATTAACCACATGTGTGCACAATCCTGTGGCAATGTTATCTCATGAGATCTTGTGGCACGATATTGTGTCCCATCCCGAGTGGCAACATTAAGAGTACATGTAACTGTAATGCTGGAATTTACCTCAAGGATAAAGTAGTCTAATGCTGACTAGAGTTACATTTACAATGTTACTAATAACTACTACTACTACTACTACTACTACTACTACTATAGTAGTACTACTAGTAGTAGTAGTACTATTACTACTACTAGTAGTAGTACTACTAGTAGTAGTAGTACTATTACTACTACTAGTACTACTACTACTACTACTAGTAGTGTGTAATTGTACAGCACTGTGGTGTATTTTACGAGGAATATAAGTAGTAATAGTTGTAGTAGATGTAGTTCCTCTTGCTGAAGCACATTTCTATTTTTACTCACAAAATCTTCTCTCTTTGTATTTGTTGTATTTCCATCTTTCTTGTTTCCAATATACTCAAAGCAGGTTGGGCACAGACTCCTCTGGCTGCCACACGCTGCCTGCTCACATGCTAACACACAAACAAATGAAACAATGATTATCTCCCCAAACTTTCAAGGCACATTTCTGACTGAACTTACCATAGCCCAATTACTTTTGTTTGTACATCAAATCTGTGTTCCCGGTTCAGAAATGCGCCAGCAGCGCTCCTCATGTGGAAGTGCTCACCGTGTTAGCACGGCAAATCATAAACATGCACAAATCACAGGCAGATGGAGACACGCTCGGCAGCTCGTCTGAACAGGAGGTTATGTCATGCCAAACACTGCAGCAAAGGAGCATCCTTAGTACACAGAGCGCATGCATAAACACATGTGTCTGCACGCATGTGCTTCTGCTCTAAACACGCTCTCGTAGGGTGGTCCGCCAGTGCTCTGGGCGGGTGCTCTGGGCGGGTGCTCTGGGCAGGGACTCTGGGCGGGTGCTCTGGGTGGGTGCCTTTTGGGCTACAGGTGCTCTTTTGTTGTGTGCTCTAGGTAGGTGCTATAGGCAAGTGCTCTGGGCGGGTGTCCTGGACAGGTGCTCTAAGTGGCAGATGCTCTCGGCAGTTGTTCTGGCCGGCAGGTTCCCTGGGCAGCAGGTGGGCCTCTGTGTCTCTGTGTGACTGTATCTTTGTAAATAAGACACGCTCGGTCCTGATTCTATCTTACAGTCTCCATGTCACCATGACCCCACAGTCTCTGGTTCTGGCCTGTGCAGGATTGGATCGCCTGACAGAGGTCTTGTGCCTCTGTATGAGCCAAATAGATATTTAGTATTCAGTATGTACCTCAGTGTGAATATATTCTACAGTGGTTGGTACATGTATTTTCACTGAAGCTGTCGATAGAAGATGAATGGTAATCGTATGTTTGTTGTGGTTTTGCCCTCACTGTCAGTTCAGGTTCCTTGCTTGTTTCAAAATGGCCAGTGCCTTTTCTTTGCACACATATATGTGTAAATCTGCACTCTAAGAGGTGCTTTCCTGTGGCTTTGAAAATGAAAACTTTAAAAGAAACCAGAGAAATAGCAAAGTTACCTGCTTCACTTTATTCTAAAAGTTGTTCACTTACACTTGTAAGATGGATTGTAGTTTAATATCTAACATGTCCACACATACAGGTCCTTGACTGTCTCAGTATGCCTCAGTAAGTCTCAGTATGTGTGCTCATGCTCTGCACTTGTCTCTGTTTGCAGACTAACCCTCTCAGCTCCACTAACAGCTCAGCTCTGACCAGCACAAAGCACTCATATGTACTTCTATTTGCATGACTGCATGTTCCAAGGTAACACTTTTGCCTGGAAATGTCACCATCAAGACCAGTGTCATGAGTCAGGTCAGTGTAATGGGAATCGTTGTAGGCAGTAACTACATGAGTAAAATGACAATTCACTCTTGTGTTCATTTCAGTAGTTTCAACTAGTCCTATAGATTTCTTTGGTTAGCTGGTCACAATTTTTGTTTCAATGTTTGTTTCAAGTGATGTTGTTTTTTCCTTTATTCCTTTAACATTGTCAGTAAAGTCATCTGACCTTGACCTTGAAAAGGATTTAAAACAGACACAAAAATATGGGTCCACAAATTTAGACTGACCTGCTTCATTTTTCTAAATGAGAAAATACAAAATAAGATTGGGTAACACTTTTATATGTAATATATGTATAATAGCTTCAATACCACATAAAGAAAGACTTGAAGGTGCACTGTGTAACTTTTCTGGTGAAGGGTCTGCCACCTGCTTGTCTCCATGGAGATATTACAGTTTTACCTTGATTCTACAGTATGGAAATAAACTTATTAACATAATCACATTGGAGACAGGTTAATGATCAGATCTATGGAGAAGCAAGCCTGCACATGGAAAGAATTAATGTTTTTAAGGCATTTTTGAGTTATATAAAACCTGTAATTGATGTTTAATGTCATACTGTGGACCATTCTAGGCAAAGAAATAACATCTCCATGGAGACAAGCAAGTAGCAGAGCCTCCACCTTAAATGTTGCACAGTGCATTTTTAATTCATAATGAACAATTAAGAATGATTCAAGCTTAATAATTACATAAATCCCAACGAACAACCAAACTCCTTATTGCTAACTTCTTATTTTCTTTTAGTCAAACATCTTCTCAGTGAGCTGTATTTACATTTGACATGTTTTGGCTGCTAGTTGTGAACTAAAAGAAAATAAGAAGTGAACTATAGCAACTCAAGATAAGTACTTCCTAAGCCTAATAAAATGGTACCTAAGACGAATATTGTGAATCATAGCCATTTTAACTCAAATAGATATGTTTTTTTCAGTGATAAAACATGATCTTTTTGGACTTTTGATGTGGCTGATTCAAATAAAGGCATTTTTCCCATGTGTTTATGTGGGTGTGCGTGTGCATGCAGGGGAGAGGAGTGTCCCGTCCCAGGCAGCCCCCCAGCTCTTCCCCAATGGTAAATATGGCCCGACCTGCTCCTCTCTGTGCTCTGTGGGCGTGGGACTCTGTGCTCTGACCCCTCTTTCCTCCCTCCAACGCCCTCTCAATAACAAATGCTACACCTTCTCCACACATGTAAACAGGCTGCTCTTCAAAATTACCTGTATTATCATTATATGCTCACGCGTATCATTCTACCAAACCGATCCGTGGGTTAGAAAAGTTTGGACAGTTGCCATAGCAATTAAAGCTCCTATATTACACACAATTGACTCTTCTGAGCTTTAAACCACGTTAGAATGCTGCTACCTCATCAAAAACATACTCAGAGTTGTGGTTGTTTTCATTCACACGTTTTAGTGATTCTTTATTACTGGTCTATCTACATTTCCACGGCTCAGAATGCTACGCTCCACCTTGTGATGTCATGAAGCAAAAGTTAACATCTACTTTTTACCTTTACTTCAGTAGAGGCTGGCAAATACAGGATTTAAATCATAAAAAAATGATTCTAGTGAAAGCATATGGAGTTTAAAAACAGTGGAGCACTTCTCATATTACCACCTGACATCCCAAGAGTGTTTTTAGTTTGAGAGAGAGAACTAAGAAGAACCTAAATATTCAGCGTTTGTGTGAATGAAACAAAACACAACTCCGGGTATGTTTGTGATGAGGAAACAACATTGTAACATAGATTAGAATAAAGCATGATATGGGCCCTTCAACATTTGAAAACAAAATATTATATTTTTCAAAAGTCCTCACAGTGGCACCACATAACAGGAAGCTGAAACACATGAATAGTTCATAATTGTTGTAGAGAGCTGGTCAAACTCCTGTGAGGTAATTTGAGAGTTTTAGAATGCAGATTGCTTTGATAGGGTATATTAACTCCAAATATTAAATCTATTCAAATGAAACAAAAGCTGGATTCATGCCTAAAATCTTCATCAGCACCAGAAGTGAATACATTCTGTTTTCATTGTAGCGTAAAATGTAGAGGCATATTAAATCACACAAGGCTGGCACTTGACAATTAAACAGACATCACTGAATAAACTATGATAAAGAAGAAAATATTTACTTTGGTCATTTCTTTTAAAAACACACAAAAATAGTTGCCTCTGGCCTCCATATTATTTTTAATCGGTGCTAGAAATACTACTGCATTTTACACAAACATAATATGAATAAAAGTAATGAGCTTTCATGTTTCCATGGTAACTCATACAAGTAAAGCCAAATATTTAGTAAAACAATGCTATCAACACACTTAAAATTGACTAGCTTTCCCCAACATTAACCTTCATTTTTTTGAATAGTAGTTTGGTGCTGAGTAGCTTGAACCAATTTTCATTATCAGGGTTTAATTTTTCGCTCAATTATTTGACAGTAGCATAGTGTAATTAGGACAAAAGAAACATTATTCAAATGAGCTTGTTTTTAAGGACATGCCAGGAAAAGCTTGTATGGTGCTTTTTAAGTGTTTTACAATTTAATTAAAAAAAACAAAAACAAATAAAAAGAACAGCACAGGTCCAATCTCAGAGGAGCAGTCTGTTCTTCATAGTAACTCAACAACTCTGTCCTTTAACTTAACCACTGTAAGTATATCAGCACCCAGATACACGCTACTGCTCTGAGTGTGACCTATTTACAGATTTAGGGGTTTCCTGTCCTACTTTATCTGCTTTATAATCCCTTAAAATAGGAATGAAAACCAGCAGGAGACACACGTTGCATTTTGATTTCAGTTTGATGATTTTTTGTGGTTTGGGCACTCGAGAAAACTCCCATAAGACTGTTGGTGTTTGTTAAATCTTTTTGCATGTTTGAGGTTTGGTCAAGAAAAATGGTGACTTCATATTTTGGTAGAATTGTAGCTCAAGCCATCTCCATAGCCTACTTACAATATAACTAGTTAAGTGTGTTTTTCTAATGTAAAGACTGTGTATATGGACTTGAATGTTGGATATATTCATATGGTGACCCAATATCAGGACTGTACATAGTGAGGATAATTGAATATAAAAATGATTATATTACTACAAAGTGTGCCATTACCAGTAAACAGATTATTCAGTTTTAATAATAATTCATGTACACAGGTGACATTGTCCCAAGTCTTATTCATGCTTATTTAAACAATCCCTAACAAAAATTATATTTACACTTTGAAGGTGCACTGTGCAACTTTTCAGTGGATGGTCCACTATCTACTTGACTCTATGGACATGTCATTGCTTTGCCTGGAATTAAAGACATCCATAGAGCATTTTATTCATCACAAATGTTTCTATTGCTCAAAAATACAGTTACAGCCGTCCCTCACTATAACACGGTTCACCTATCGCGGCCTCGCTGTTTCGCAAATTTTTTTAGAGCAATTTTGCATGCCTTTTTTTTTTTTTTTTTTAACAGTGTATGAACGTGCATTGTGCTCCTCCCCCTGCGTCCTGATTGGCTAAGGGACTGTAGACCATTGTCAGTCAGTCTCCTCCTTGTCTCCTGTACAGTACAGAATGCATTCAGCTTGCCAGATTTACATAAATATTCGATCACTAGCAGTATGATTATGAAGTGCTGAGTGTTTGTAAGTTTTCTCCCCGACAAAACCCACAATGACGACAAAACGTTCTGCACCGACAAAGGCTTCTGGGGTTCCACCCAGAAGGCAGAGGAAGATGCTAACCATCGCACAAAAAGTTGGACTTTTGGACACGCTGAAGGAAGGTGGATTTTACGAGCTGTAGGCTCCATTACAGAATAAATTAATCTTCAGTTTGGCAAGGAGAAAAATAACATAAGGATGACAGCAGCAATAAGTTTTAAGAAGAATGCAAAAAGGGTTGTAACTGTCCTGTCAGAGAAAAGTGTATAAAGTGTGTGGAGAGGATTTTTACAGCCTTAAAACATATAGAATAATTGTAAAATATAAAGCTGATTACTTTGCGGATTTCGCCTATTGCAAGTTATTTTTAGAACGTAACCCCTGCGATAAACGAGGGACCACTGTATACCTTTTGTGATTAGGGCTGACTCTCCACAGATCTGAACTGTAATATAATGGGGTGTAGTGCCGTAATCTTCTTTTCTCCCTTGTGATAGATAGGTTTAATTAATACTGTGGAACAATCTAGACAAAGCAATAACATTTCCGTGGAGAAAAGAGAGTGACAGACTCTCCACTAGAAATGTTACGCAGTGCACCTTTAATGGTGAATTTTGTTTTAGATAGACCAGTAGTTTTCAAAAGGAGAAAGAGCCACTGAGGAGATGTGACACACACGTGAAGAAAAAAAATAACATTCCACATCTGTACACATCTGTAGCAGGACTGATATTGGTAATTGTGCGTGTAAAATTATGTCCCCATTCTGACAACCTGCTCATACTTTGGAGCACCACCTTTTTTGCCTTGTATACGCCACATGGACCGCGTCTTCTCACGTATGTTGCATGAGCTGTGCCTCCTCGCCTCTAAACCAGAACTAAAACCAGGACTAAACCAGAACTAAAGCCAGGACCAAACCAGACCTAAACCAACACTAAACCAGGACTAAATCAGGACTAAAATCAGGACTAAAACCAGGTCTAAACCAGGACTAAACCAAAACTAAAATCAGGACTAAACCAATACTAAACCAGGACTAAAATCAGGACTAAAACCAGGCCTAAACAAGGACTAAACCAAAAGTAAAATCAGGACTGAACCAGGGCTAAAACCAGGGCTAAAACCAGGGCTAAAACCAGGACTAAAATCAGGACTAAAATCAGGACAAAAACCAGGACAAAAACCAGGACAAAAACCAGGACTAAAACCAGGATAAAAACCAGGACTAAAACCAGGTCTAAACCAGGTCTAAACTAAAAGGATTTAACCAGGATTTAATGAGGACTTAACCAGGATTTAACCAGGATTTAACCATGCTGCGCAGGGACTGGGGGGGCTCACATTCATCCAATTTGAAAACCCCTGAGATAGACAATTGGCCTCATAATTCAGGGTCAGACAAACATGCATATTTATTTCCAATAGATATTTGAAAAGTATAGAACGTCAGACAGACACAAGTGGTAGACTATTGATTTGAAGGTAAAGGATTTCAAACTTTCTTTACCAACAGGTCTAGATCTGTCTCTCCACCCAAGCTTAAAGAAAAGTATCTATAAGTGCCCAATTATTATATTATATTATGTAATATCTTGTATAGAGCTACAAGCATATTCATGTATTAGTCTCAGTCTTCTCTCAAGTGTTATTGCTAATGTGATTGAGGTTCATCTTGATTTAAAAACATTTCTCACTGATAAAATTTCAATTCTTAGTACATTATTTTCCTAAATCATGCTGCCCTAGCGCATTTGTGGTACTGCTTGTCAACACCAAATTGACAGCAACCTTGCGTGTCAGCTATCTTTATATAAAACCCACTGCTATCCAATGCATAGCCCACTTCTTTATTTATTGACAAAAGGCCCTGTGCACTGTGGTTAATTGTAGGTCCCGGTCCAAGAGACACAAACCATACATACATACCCAGGAAACCATCATGTCAAAAATATATCTTGGTCCCTGTAGCACTGGATCATTACAGTTTGGTGAGACTGACTAAGCTATTCCTATGGCATGCCCCGGCACTCGTCTCCTCTCACACTTTGCAATTATGTGAAGCCACAGGTCTGCTCTCTCTAGGCGGGAGCGAGCTGTGGCCGTGACCCTGCCCGGAGTCTAGAAACACTGACAGAATCAAGACAAAAGGCCAAAACAGAATTAGACGGACAAAACATACAGGCTACATTCAAGGGCAGAATGGTGGACATAGTGTTTTAGATTATTAATAAGTGCTTTCTTATTTACCATAGATGAAATGTTTTTTAAGACAGTTTAAAAGTACTGGCGCTAAACAACAAGATGAACAAAATATTGAAGTGTCAATATTATGCTATTTTCTAATCTATGTTGTTTCCTCAACACAAACAGACCTGGAGTTGTGTTTTGTTTCATTCACATGTTTAATGCAAAAACCCTGCATGTTTAGGCTGAGTTCTTCTCTTAAACTGAAAATACTCTGTTCCACCTTTTGATGTCATGTGGTGTTATAGGAAGCGCTTCACTGTGTTTTTAAACTTCACACACCTTCACTAGAATCATTTCGGCGCCTATGCAAATGTATGCCAGAAACAGGCAGTTATTTTGGTGACTATTGACTGAGCTATATCTTGAAGATAAATAATTTGTCCTTTAGTATGTCAGTTATTTGATTTGAGCTCACCCTGAGTTACCCCCCCAAGACATACTTCAGACCTGCAATATAAAGTAATGGGCAGAAGCACCGGATTTGATGTCAGATTTTCTCCAAACGTCAAAAGGCTGAGTTCGCTCCGACTCAGCAAACTCAAAGGACAAACACATGAATCAAATAAAATCATATTACCACATTTAACAGTATAAAAATATGTCTATGCAGATACACATTCAATTTTAAACTAAATATAAAACATGTAGCCTAATACAAAAGAACAGATCTATATATATATATATATTTTTTTTTTGTGTAGGTCAAGTTAGGGACCAGCCGCTACTGCTCAAACGTGTGTTAATGAAACAGAACTAGGTTTGTTTTTTGAGGGGGTAACAACTTTCTAACATGGCTTAAAGTTCACAAGAGTCTGTATTAGTATGTACTTATTATAGGGTTTGTGTAGCTATTACTTACTGTAGTTATTTACTTCATAGATATAGTAAAGGTGTACTATGTAACTTTTCTGGTCTGCCAATTGCCTGCCTATCTTGCACGTTAGAAGTTATAAAATGGAAAATGATGCATACTAACTGTGAGCAGGCTTGTCTTTCCACAAATCTGACCTGTATCTTGTCCTGGAAGCATCACCTGGTTGTCTCCATGGAGATACATAAATACATTCAATGTCATATGTGACCATTCCAAGCAAAGCAATAATATCACTATAACATCTCCATGGAGACAAGCGAGGGATGGATCCTCTATTAGAAAAGTTGCACATCTTTAAGGCTTGGTGCTGTTGCAAACTCCACATGCAAGACTTTAAAAGAAAAACATTGTAGATATTCAATAATAAAGCTAAATCAGTTTTAAATTAACAATAGTAATGATGGAAGCAAATTGGCCACAAAAGGGTTAACACTAAGAGACAGTAGAAAAATGTGCACTGCAATTAGTTAAAATTACTTGAATTCACAACGTAAATTTTGACTTGTTTAATTATCTGCTAATGGGGTTAGAAAAGAAATGCACTTGAAATAGTAATGCAATTTCTTACCCCATTAGCAGATTTTGTAATTTCAAGCTTAATTATGTCTAAACAGTCACTAGTGTCATTTTTCAAGATACATAATAATCCCAATGACAACAAAACTTTATCTCACCCATGATACTGATGTACAAACACGTACTAGTGCTGGCTAAAACACAACTTTTGCAAATTGAATTAAAATGTTGTAATTATCATTGTGTGACCTTTTCCTGCACTTCTTGTAAAACGAAATGAACGCCTCTTTAAATTTATACCCTCCCCATAACACGGCAAGCTGTTTAATTGCGTCGCCATAACAACCAGAGACACTAAAATTGCATCACGGGTCTCAACACCTGTTTTACTCTGACGCATCATATCAATCCTGGCAGCTTTTACTTCCTCTTTTATAGCTGCTCCCGGCTCTGCACTTTCTAGTATTTAAGTGGAGAGAAAAACCGTTCCCCAAAAGCGAACTTCATTGGCTATAAAAAAACAGCAGCTGCACCGCTTCTTGGTCCTGCCACGTGTACCCTGCCATCCTTCTGCCCCTGTCAAACCTCCAGGCTGACACTTATAGCGTCCACATCCTATTACCGACAGTGCTCGCTTCACCCCTACAGCCAAGTCAATGTTCCAGGCTTGTTTGGAAAAAGAATAAGTTTCTATAAAGCAAACTATTAAAGCACTCTCTGTGAAAACAAATGGTCCGTGTGTTGAAATTTGTCACTTTCTGGAAGAAGAAAGCGCTGCTATCCCATTCTGACTGACTTTTTTTTTTTTTTTTTTCCAAATGGCCAATACAGGAGTTACGGAGGCGAAATTGCTTTTTTATCCCTCAAATGGCTGGAAGGTGTTGTCAGATGCTGCAAAGAGGTCCGCATTGGTGTGATAGCTGAAGGCGAGAGGGGTGCGGAGTTTATAATTCAACCTTGACCAAAGACAAACATGCAGACACCCAAACTTTGCACAGTTTAGAATGATTTTTTAAGCGATTTTGTAGCTCTGTTGGCTCTGTTTGACTTTAAGCGAGCAGTGTGAAATAGGGGTAAAGAGAGGAGAGACATTCAGCTCTGAGGCAGGCACATAGTCCAACATTTGACCAAATATGCCTGTTATCATAGTAATGCATTAGATTTATATAGCAACTTTCAGAACATCCACAGAACAGAAACAGAACAGAACAAAAAAGTGCTTTCATTGCATTTTTCATTCACTCAACACTGGTAAACTACTACACTATACTATACTACAGCTACCCTGGGGTAGGCTGACGGAATCAAAGCTACCAACTTGCACCATCAGCCCCTCTGACTGCCACCAGCACTCACACACACGCCGCATTCATACTAGGCCAGGTGGGTGAAGTGTCTTGCCTAAAGACACAATCACGATATCCACTAGAGCCTCTGCTACCCGCTTTGTTACCTGGTATTTCCAGTGGTCTCTCATTCAAGTACTAACCAGTCCCCTGCTTAGCTTAGATGGAGCGTTCTCAAGGTTATATGGCCACAAAATAATTACTGTATCATCTTTGTTTAAAATGAATTAAATTTAGAAGTGCACAATTTGTTTTTGTTTTTTTGTATCATGAACCTTCTATTTGTTCTAGTTGGACATTTTAATTAACATATGAGCTGTACAGGGTCAGTCTAAGTCTTTCATGATCATGTTTTTAGTATCATGTCTTTTATTATAATGTATTTATTTATGATGTGCTTATTAAAGGTTTCAGAAATTCTGCTTTAGGGTTATTGTATTAGTGATATAAAATACAACAAAAGCCCAGGACACTATCCCCAGACTACACTATCCACACTGCGAGTTTTCATGCACTCACATACACTATCTACACTGCGAGTTTTCATGCACTCACATACACTATCTACACTGCGAGTTTTCATGCACTCACATACACTATCTACACTGCGAGTTTTCATGCACTCACATACACTATCTACACTGCGAGTTTTCATGCAGTTTTTTGTTTTCTCTACCTATTTTTTTCTTATAATTCTCACTGTTGCATATCTGGAAACTGCTGTGGCTTCATTTATTTCTATCTGCAGCTCATAAAAAAGACTGACCCCCCTAACTCCTGTAAATCTGACTAACTCGCATGCTTTCCGATGCCGTGGTAGTAGATCATCAAAATGTTTTTAAATGTTTCTGAAAGTGTGTGTTTGTGTTTTGCAGAGACGTGTGCAGTGAACAATGGTGGCTGTGACAGCACGTGTCATGACTCTGTGACAGGAGTGCGCTGTAGCTGCCCCGTGGGCTTCACTCTGCAGCCCGACCGCAAGACCTGCAAAGGTAAAGGCCACACACACTCATACTATAATGCCCACACTCATACTAATGTAATCATAACGGAGTCAAGAGCAGTGTTTACCAACCAGGGATGTGGGGAGGGATGAGGTGAAAACAAATGATATTTGTATTGTTTCTCACTTAAGAGGTGCACTTTGTAGCTTTTCTGTTTGAATTCGTACCTGCTTGTGTGAAAAATACCTTGAAAAACAACCATTTATACTGTAAACAGGGTCGCCTCTCCACAGAACTTGCCTGGTGGTGTCACTTACTTGAAGTTTAATGCCCTATTGTGGAACATTCTAAATAGTAAATGGTCACATTTTTTTAGAGCACATTTCCACCTGCAAGGCACTCAAAACATTTCACATCAATTCCCCCATTCACTCACACATTCATACACCAGTGTATGCAGACACTGGGGGCGATGGTGTGTGGTGTTGCTCAAGGACAGTATTCATCTGTGTGAGCTGGAATTGCACCACCAAAAAGTTACGCAGTGTACTCTCAATAATGTTATGTTTAAATTATTTTGAACATATTTTTAAAACAAGAATCTTAAGAAAGTATAAATGTAATAAAGTATGCCATTATCTAGTCTTTTCACCCATAAGTAAGAGTGTACTTGAAATGGTGGACAAAACTTAGAGAGTACTGGAGACAAGAAAGTTTGGGAACCAATGCCACAATAGCGCCAGGAAAATAGGTTTGTTCTCCCAGAAATTATACTTAATTCCAGCTATTTACCAATTATATATTTTTTCCCTACTCCTCCCTTCATACTGATGCAGATGATCTAGGAAAATATTTCACAGGCTTACCTTGTACAGTTCAATCAGATCTGCATAATGAATGCTGTTATCAGCATAGTTTTATTCTAATTGGTACTAAACAACTAAACACTAACTTTAACATATGTTTTTGCATTAGCTAAGTTACGATACAAGTGTACTATGCTTAAAACTTGTGATTTTGTACTTAAAGGTCCTATATTAATCAAAAATAATTCTTGTAAGTGTTAAACCATGTTATGTTGTCACCTCCTCAAAAACACCTTTATTATTAGTCTGTCCACATGTCCAAAATAGTACTTTTGAAGTTAACCACAAATTTTACCTTTTGTTCAGTAGAGATGAGCAAGTCCAGGGCTGAAATTATCCAAATAATTCTTGTGAAAATTTATTCAGTTTGAGAGAAGAAGAGAAGAACATCAAAATATGAATAACACTACTTCAGATATGTTAGTGATGAGGAAACAACACTATAACATAGATCAGAAAATAGTGTAATATGGGCCCTTTAAACTTATATTGGAAGATTATAGTCCTGTATAATTTTGCTTTGCTGTTTAATTAGTTTTCCCATTAGCTCACCTATAGAACAAGCTAAAAAGTACAATTGAATAACAAGATGTTAAAATAACATAATCATTTTCCGACATTTATAGACCACTAATTCATAACATGACAAAGCCTTTCTGAATTTGCCAGAATCTGTTTTAAAACTCAACCCGGCAGCACAGAAATATGTCTGCTTTCCTTGACAGTCTTTCCCTCATATTACCGTCATCCACTATTGTTGTTGCCAAAGAATCTTCAAATCAAGCAACAGCGCTGTAGTGGAGCCTGTATTTTATTTATACTGTCTCTAATAAAATCAAATCCAAAAGCGGGGGAAGAACACACAGTTTTATTAGCAGACTTGAGAAAACAAAAGCCTTAGCTACTTGACAGATGGGGGGAGCAGTCAGGTTTGCAGGAGCACGTTACCAAGATGTGTGTGCATGTTCTACAACTGGAGATGTCTTTCGTACAACACCGATAAAAGGACTCTGGCTTATATTAGTGCCGGGTTTTGAAAGAAGAAGAAGCAAAACAGAAAACAGACCAGCTCCGGGCCAAGCACATATAAAAAAGACCAAAGCAAAGGGATTGTTCTCTTCCATTTACTCTTAACCAAATAACGAAGATCCTCTCTGTGAACAGACGCCTCATTTCACATCATTATTCGAGGGAGCTGCCAAAGTCGGGACAATTGCATGATGCATTGACTTTGTGTTGGCGCTGAAAAGACAGAATAAAGTAATCTGAAGATAGATTGATGATTTGGAACTTTAAGAGCATCCTCCTGTTATTCCTGTTCTTTTTACACTCTTCTTAGCATAGCAATAACCCTCCCCTAACACATAACTCCATATATTAGGTATTTAAAAAGTCTGTAAATTTTAAGTATACGTTTTATCCAGTTGCACTTTGCATTTGACCTATCCGTCAATGTCACTGGGGAAACCACAAGTGGCAAACAGAGGCCCCTTTCCTTATCTTAATAGTACACTATGTTCCACAGTATGGCATTAAATATAACGATGCCACCATGTCAAGTTTGAGGTCAGATCTGCCCACAGTAACAATGCACTTTCTTTAAGGTACAATAAAAACACATGTAATTGAGTGAATGCAAGATAGGTCACCTTAATGCTCTACTGTGGGACCTTCTAGGCAAAGCAATCTAATCTCCATGGGAACAAGTGGCGGACCATTCACGCAAGTTAGTTTCCTAGTGCAACCTAGATGGAGTTTGGCCTATTTCTGCGTATTGTAGGTTGACAGAGAAAAGATAGTACCAATAAGAAACCCACTCACACGGGAAGAACAGGCAAAGTTGTAACAGGCAATGAATCAATCCTAAAAACGCATGTGTAGCCATGTGCCAGGATACTTTTGGGAAGCACTTGTGAGCACCGCTGACTGAGAACACCCCATAAGAGCTGACGTTTTATCCACTTGCCACTCATCTAAATAATTACTTTCTCCTATCCTTCTTGCCTATAATTTTATGGACAATATGTTCCTCGGCTGCTAAATATATTCCACCCACTAGCAGGTGCAATGATGACAAGATAATCGCTTTTATTCACTTCAACTTCAATGATTATATCATTCAAATTATATAAAAATACCCCATAATGAATACTTACTGAAAACTAGGGCTGGGCAATATGACCAATAAAACTATGTTGTTCAATTGGGATTTTATAATTTCTTATTAAAAACATATTTTTATTTTTTTATATTTTCAACATGAACAATTTAACAAAAACAATAGTTCTGTTTGGTCCTCCAGAATCTTAGTTCTACTCCAAACCACATACTTTTATTGACAGAGGATTGCTGTAAACCACTTAATAAAAAAAAAAAATAATAATAATAATAGATTATTTGAATTCAATTCAAATTTGATGAATTGCACAGCTCTACTAAAAACTGCTCCTTCTGTCTCTAATCAGTGCATATTTCTATGTACCCTATAAAAATCTGAAGTATTCCATCTGTATATGATTTACTTCCACAGATAATGACGAGTGCCGGATGAACAACGGAGGGTGTGACCACGTGTGCCGGAACACAGTGGGCAGTTTTGAGTGCAGCTGTAAGAAAGGCTACAAGCTGCTGACCAATGAAAGGACCTGTCAAGGTAAATACAGCCATTTACACGTTCAAATTATAGAGAAACGTATGGCCAATTCTGCCTGTACAGTGTGATGTGGCACTGGGACTGAATAGGCTTCCTGCTGCCAGGTGCGTCTCAAGCAGAGATAGTGCTAACAACACTTTGAAAATGCTTTTAGGGGGCACACAATTTTTACTCACCTTGCACAACAAGATGGATTCTCGTGATATTTGAGAGCTCTCAAACTCACCAGAATCCATATTGGCATTCCCCCTGCTGGTGCGATAGTTGGCGCACCAATCACAGAGCAGCATTGAGGTTTGTGTGAAAGCCAAAGGTGAAGTGCCTAAATGATCCAAAACAAAGACTGCAACACAGATAGACGTGTTTCAGCTTATTTTAGCTTCAATATGGAATATTTGTTAATGAAAAACATGCAGAAGCGAAGAACTTTGTGTATCTGAGGACAGGGAAGATGTCTGTGTTTTTCTCTGTACCAGATTCAACAAAAGTTATTTTTTGACTTGTATCTGCTGTTGTGATTCTTCCACCAATCTGATTCAAATAATCATCATGAGGTTCAGCATTTGCCAATTGTTTTGAGTGAGAGCCATCCCACACTGATTATGTATAGAAGCTTTTTTTTGCCAACAACTGAATTCATATGTACATGTTTGACTGGTTTTACAGTTAGTGCAGTGAGATTTGAACCAGTGACCCTCTAGAGCGAAGGCTAAATCTAAACACCAAGCTTCCTTTATCACTCTGATAATGGTGCTAACTTTTCATCACCCTGAAACTCATGGATACAACAGCTATACATAGTCTATACATAGTCTATATAAAATACATACATAATAAGGATCATGATTAGTTGCCACGAGATTACATACTAGATGCATTTTTGTCTAACCAGAAAAATCAAGATGTAGTAGAATAAAAAGTTAAGTCAAGATAAGTTTGATGAACTCTACTTCTTGAGTGACCTTGGTTGATCCATTCAACTAAGAAAACACAACTGAATCATTAATATCCCTTCTTGACTGGTTTATTGTTGGAGTGGGATGTCTGTTAATAAAAGTTGGTAAAAAAAAATAAAATAACTTTGTAAAAGTTAATTCCCAGATAAAGAAGGTTTATTCCCTGAAAATCCAAGAAACCAAGTAAATTTCAAGAAGCTCGGGTTCAGGTGGCTCAGGTGACTTTATTTGTACCTGTGGGAAGAACAGTTTTGCAGCAATTTTCAGGGTTGGCATCAGTACACATTCAACTCTGCAGTATGCCTTGGTAGAAAAAGTGATAGAATGAGTTAAACGTATTGCTTTCTGAATTTCCCTATAGATTCAATTTTGCTCCTGTCTGATGGTAATGTCCCATAATGTGTTACTTGACAAGCCGCACTGTACTGTAAAGGAGGACTCAGCAGCATTTTGAAGAGACGGAGAACTCTGCTCAATACTTTTTGTACTTTTCCACTTTTTCCACTTTTGTCCCTTGTACTTGGTAAGCGGTACTGACAGACATTGTTCTTTTATGCATTGAAACTTAAATGCTCTATAGTTTCATTTATAGTAATGTGATGACTTGTAAGGACCACAACCTCAGAATACAGTGTAAATGAGTTTGTAAAATGATCATGTATCTGATGAGGTGATTGGCTCTTGAGCTTGTATAAGGGAAAACATTTAATTGTGAATTTTCTGATTAGATTTGAGATTTATGTTTTAATAGCTGGATTCTGGACTTTAAACCCATTCGAGAGTATTAATATTTGAGAGAAGACTGAAATCTGAACTACTAAACTAATCCAAGGATCCCATGCAATTCAGAACATGTTTGTAGAGGTCTTAACTACAGGGTTAGCAGCTTTTTGTTATTTTCAGAGGAAATTATATTAATCAAATATCTGCAGACAGAGAGGAAATGGGACAGGAAAGCTTGTGTTTGAGATGTGGTCCTGCGTCTAAAAGGAAAATATAGGTAAACTTATCTTAATTTATCTATTTACTGTTGAGGGTTTAATATGCCAAAACAAAGTAATATCATGATTTTATAGATCACAGTTTTTTATTTTATTCTCCTGGTGTTTTTTGGGTACAATGTCAGTCAGAAAGTTCACACTTCAACCATTAGGAGGAGTGGGTGTTTGCTTTTGAGCCAAAAGCTGCATTAAAGAAGACATCTTGTGCTTGTGTCTGGTATATAGTTATAATCTGTGACACCTGTGGATCTTATAAATTGCACATTTTACATTGCAATATTCATCAAAATTTAATGACTGAAAAAAAGGAAACAAGTCAACTGATCTGTCTCTTTGGAAGCTGACAAAATCACAACAAAGAGTGGGCAGCTCAGATGGATAGCTGCAAATCAGGCTAGTGAGCAGCAGATTTTAAAATCATTTGTTAAAGTAATGGCTGTGCAAAGCTGCTGGATTCTGTGTGTATCACCGATTATGACAATATAATTTGGAGAATGCACAGAGCAGAGTACAGGGCTGTGAAAGTGAGGGTTGATCTCCTATATGGTGTCTTGATTGAAAGTAAGTGATTAAAGATTGCTCAAACATGCACTAATCACTCCAAATACATCTTCGAGAGGGTAAATGAGAACGGGAAACAACTATCACATGGTTAAAAGCTCTGAAAAGTCAATTTTGTGTAATAGATCTACTTTAACTGAACTGCACAGAATCTCAATATCATGATTTTACCAAAATAGCATCATCTCGGGGATCAGATATTAGTACTGTTATTAGCCCCGAGCGTCAGAAGCTGGTGATGGGTCTATTAGTATCGCATAGTGGAATGTGTGAAAGCTTTCTGAAAATATATAGTTTGTCACCTACAAAAAAGCAGAACATTGTTCTCGTATCAGAATATTATTTTTTCTTCTCAATAATTATGAGGAATTATGAGGATGAGGATTAATGAGGATACAACATTATAACATAGATCAGAAACTAAAAACAAAAGCCACTCTGCACAGGATGGTGCTTCCTGTTTTGCATTATGGATCCAGCCAAGGTCATTGAAAACATTGTTATGATTTATATATACAGAAAAATCCCGCACACCGTCTTACTTGCAAACAGGTTTGCCTGACGAAGGCCTAGTGCCGAAACGTTGCACGGTTTGTCCTAATAAATTTCACAGTTTGCAAGTAAGACGGTGTGCGGGATTTTTCTGTATGTTCTGGGGCTGCTCCCTCTCCTCCAACGCACCCGTCTTCTAGTAGTTGATGTGCGAGGCTCTCATTCTCTCATATGATTTATATATAAAATGAGGCGCTGGCCAGTGGTGTAAATAAACCAAAGTAAAAGCATTTTTTCACAGATTTTCTTTTTAAACATATTATAATTTTTTTTCCACTTTCCAATCAAGTGACTGCAGCTGTGGCTGGCATATGAATTCAAGTTTTGGCATCTGAAATAATAAACATGAATAACTACCACAGACATTTAAGAAACATAATTTTAAAACATCTTTTGTTTTATTTTTTCAAAGGGTAAAAGGTCATCTTTAGAGGTGCTTTAGTGCTGGTAGGGCCTGGGCGTCCTTCTATGCTCCTCTACGTCCACTCCTTTCAGGCGGGTGGATGACTGTGTTCTTTCACATTCATATTGAAACTTCAGGAGATGCAGTTCCTCTCGTGCTGAGAAGAGTTCAGAAGACAGCTCAGGACAGGAGCTGTCTTTGTGGGTTGTATCTCCACCAACTCCAATACCAGTGGTTTGAGGGTCTCTGCAGGCCTCTGGAGCCGACCGGTTTGTATTTCTCATCTCAGCCATTATATTGTCCTGTGCTTTAAGTTGTTGCTTCACCTCTTCAGGGCCTTTACTGATGCCGGACAGCTCTTGTTTGAGCTGGACACTTTCTTTCATTGAACTGTTATACAGATATTGGTCTCCAGCTCTTTGTCTTTCTTCTGGAGAGAAGTTTTGAGTTTTTGTATCTCCAAATAGTCAGTCAAATTGTCTGACTTTTCTGGAGTTTGCAAGCTCTTGATTCAGCTGCACATTTTCCTGATCTCCTTATGTGCACTAATCTTGCAGTTGCTTGTCATTCAGAGAATTACAAAATTTGTTCAACTCTAAGTCTTTTTCTTGGTCAGTTCTCTTCTGAGGCCTAAGCTTGTAGTCCAAAGGATTGCTTGGGACCTGATCTGCAAGTTCGACCCTTGCTCACTCCAACTCTTCACAGAGCGCCCTGACCAGAGTGCACTCCTCCAGGGGTGGAAGTATTTAGATCAGGGGTAGAAGTACCTGGACCAGACTTCTGTCCTCTGAGTTTGAGGGCTCCTGGGTGTTGGGAGACACCAGTTGGGTCTCCTGTGGCTCTTGACCGCTCCCTGTTGGTTTGGGGCAGATCATAGCCTCCTGGACAAAGCCCTCATCACAGAGGTGGGCATCATCCTCTGTAATCCTCTCTGTATCATGGCTTTGTTGAGAAAGAAGTAGAGCTATCTTCGCCGTCTGACCTTGCAGCGTTAGAACTCGTTCACTCGATGATAGGTGGATATTTTTTTCATTTAATCAATCGCTATTTGGTCGTGACGTATGTAATGCGCCGCTAACGGGGCTAACTGGTATATTAAGCCTTTCCCAAATCCCGTAGGAAGAAGGGCAATAACGTCTTTCCCCTTGATAAAATTCACCAAACATTCCTTTTGTTCTGGTTTTGAATCTTCGATCTCGGAAATCGTTGCCAACACAGAATGTATGGCTTTTTGCTGATTGACTGGTGCCCGAACTTGCACTTCCAGGGTTTTTGCGAACCCCCTAGTGTATTCCAATTCCTGACCTAGTCGCTGGAGAGAAATGAAATTGAGCGAAGGCACTAGTTGGCGTCAGCCTGGCTAACTATACATATGAAACATCAACATTATTGGAGTTGTACCAAATTTGGGGATTATATTGTCTGCATGACTACAAGCAAAAATGTATGTTATGTTATGAGTTTGATTTGATGTATGTTATTGACATGGGGCATTTTTCAAGGTTGGCCAGCAGGGATGTTAAGGTG